ATTATCTGAATAGTGGTATTTTCGGTACAAAAGAAACACGTTGAAAAAATAAAATTTGTCTTTATGAAGTATTATCTAATAGTGGTAAGTCATTTAAAGGGTGAGACGATTTAAAGAAAATTTTCCTTCTAATTAACATCATTTTGTAAATAAATTGTAATTTGTAATTAAAAGTGTAAATTGTAATTAAAAGTCTAAGTAATTCGACACAAGTGCGCCGATGATACACTTTTAGAAGTGGCACACAAAAAGCGTCCAAAAATGCTACCGCAGTGTGCCAAAAGCACACTAGAGATGTGTCAGTGACACGGTAAAAGCATGCTAGCAGCACATAAAAAGCATACTTTGGGTACACTTTTTCCACGTCATTGGCACAATTTAAGTGTGCTTTTTCTAAAAGTATGCTTTCCGGGACAGTGAGTGGCACTATTATAAATAATAGCCTTCATGATCATCAAGCGGTCAAGCTTTAGTAAAGCTTGACCACTTGTTTGAAAAACAAAGCAACAATTGAACTAAGTAAAAATAATGAAAAAACGAGCAAGAAAAAAGAGAAACTATGAACATCAAAGACCCGTGAGAGAACACGATGGCATACTGAAACGACCAAATAATTCGAAGATAAACAATATGAATTATGTAAATTAAGAAAAAACGAGCAATTATTCAAGCCTCTCTAAAGATAGCTTCACACTCATCATTTAAAAACAATAAAAACAAAAACAGTAAAACCTAATCTGGTCGTAATGACGTTTTAGAAAGTTGGTATAATTTTGTTAATGTTACTATTTGATAATTTTGTTTTATTATTTCCGGTAATACTAATTCTAACGTTCGAACTGTTGCTAAACGATCATGTAGAATTATAATAGCACCGGAATAGAGTTTATATTTAATGAATGATGAGTTCCATCTCGAATATTTTAGCTGAGGGTCGTAAGGATAAATCGAACCTAACACCAATTTATGATTTAATTTTTTACAAACTTCAAGAATAGTCGAATTAAAATAGCCGTGACCTGGTCGAAACCAATTCCACAAGTTTTTATGGTTAAAATGTTTATTTTTAGTGATAACTGTATGCGTGTCGTTAATTTGTTTTTCTAATTCAAATTTGGATAATTTTAATGCCATTTCATCACGCCATCCATGGTTTCCGAGTTCATGATTTTCTACTGAGATTCTTTTGAATAAATCATCGATTAAATTAGCCTCATATTTAAGTACATGACTACCAATAGTGAAAAATGTACAATGAGCATCATATTTCTTCAAAATGTCCAAAATTTGAATACTAACATTCAAATCGTTTATATTTGGAAAATCATCAATTGTTAACGAAACATATTTCTCATTTAGATGATCTAAATTAACGTTGAATAGGACTGTTGGAAATAATTTTGCTATAAATTTTATTACCAACTTTGGTTGAGTATAGACTATCAGTATAATAATGACAATTAGAATGATTAGGCATGCTACGCTATAATAATAATAAGACATAAGAACGACAGTGGATGCAGCGTTTTATAGAAATAGAATCATCTGAAGATAATTTTATATGAGCTACATGAGTTGGAATACACCGAGCAAGTATTCATCTAACCACTTATCAAAATAGTTATATACTTAATTAATGATGTTCACATATTCTACCTATTTACTAAAGTAACGTCTTTTTCATTGAAATCGATCCACTTCGTTAATTTTTATGTTAAATCCCTGTTAAATGACGATTGACAAGGAACAATATTTATTTTTCCTAATGGAAAAGAGATTGCTGAGTAAGACGGTTAGTATAAACCTTATTCAGCTACTTCTTTCTCCTGTATTTATTCGCCATTTTTTTGGCAATAATAAGTTAACAAGAATAAAACAACGATAGCTACACAAAACAAAACAAAATTCAGGATTAAATGACATATTTATGTTTAAAAAAATATATACACGCCTTGAAAGTAATGCAATACGACGAAAGCAAAATGACTTCAGATTTAATTATGCCACATATAGGCCTATGTGAGAGGTCGAAAAACACGAACTACAAAAGAAAGAGAAAAATCGGTTCCAAAAAAAAGAACTTTAATCATATTTAACTGTGAATCAACCACTGAAAGAAGAAAGAATTATCTGAATAGTGGTATTTTCGGTACAAAAGAAACACGTTGAAAAAATAAAATTTGTCTTTATGAAGTATTATCTAATAGTGGTAAGTCATTTAAAGGGTGAGACGATTTAAAGAAAATTTTCCTAGCAATATTAATTTCATATGATAGTTCAAAATCTTGAAATGATGTTGATAGGTTTGAATCAGATTTTTCTTTTGATTGTGTCGTTGTTATTGCCATTGTTTGAGCTGTACGTGAATTGGCGATCACTGTTTCTTCCACTGTATCATCGATAATAAATCGCCACACATATGTCTGATATTTTTGACCAAGACGTTGTACTCTCGCAATAGCTTGTAATTCAACAGAACGATTCATCGATGGTTCAGCCAATATGACATGAGTTGCCTCTGTTAAATTGAGTCCATTAGCACCTAGAAGAAACGGAAACTTTTTACGTTATTCTTATCTAAATTAAGAGATTCGTACCTCTACTTAATGGCATTAGAAGTATACTGATCGTTGGATTATTGCGAAATTCTTCCAAAGCTATTGTCGAGTCAAAATGAAGAAAAGATACGGCATTGGATCTTAACGATGTACCAATAATAGAGAGAATGTCATTCCATTGTGAAAACACTAAAATTTTCAGGGGAGGTTGTTCTTCTGCAGTCATTGTTGTTGTTGTTGCTGTTGCTGTGGTAGCAGCAGTATTATCGTCCACATTTTCATTATTCAATAGATTAACAATAAATGTAACAATTCCATCAACTTTTGATCCTAAAGAATAAAGTAGAAAGAAATAAAGAAATCAATGAGTAATAAATTATGTGATCTACCGTAACGTTCATGAACGCTTAAATGTTGTTTAGCTTCTAATAAACGGCGTGATCTTGGTGTAGCTATTGATGCGAACGAGGTATTTTTGTCCATTATGGTTTTTACTGGCGTAGTTGTTATTTTGGGAGCAACAGTATTTTTATCTTTCCACTTAATGACTGTCAACGAAGCAGTTGGAATATCACGACGACCTAAATCGAAATTTTGTTAATTTAAGTATGAGAATAGAATAACAAGCATATGTCGAGTTTTTTTTATTAAAAAAAAATAGAAAAATTATAGTTTCTCATAATCGTATGCTCACATATTGGACATTTGATTATTCTCGCATTTGGATGATTCTGAAGTTCATGACTTTTCCACTGAAGTGTACATGCTCGACAGTAAACATGACCACATAAGAAAAAACAAACATCACATAATTCATCACTGAATAGTTCATGACATACGCCGCTAAAATCGAAATGTAACACTGAATTTATTCAAACAAGCATAGAACTTTTCCTTACCATTTCGAGACATCATCAGTATCCATTTTTGAATCAACACGACTGTCTGATAAGGCTTGAATAGATCGAAAATAATCATCTTGTTGTCCTTGAAAAAATCGAAATTGTTGTCTCCGTTTAGCAACATTTGTAAGATATTCTTTTGATTTTTGTTGATGTTCAATTCGTTCAATTTCAATTTCATCCACATTATAGAGATAACGATTACGTTCAGTTTTTGCCGGACGATGTTTCGTATCTAGCCATAATTCAAGTCTCAATGTACACATTCTCATTTCGTCGAGAGAAGCATACAATATTCGTGTTTGTTGTTGATATTTTCGTCCAAAATCATTTTCAATACGTAGTTTTTTTAAAACATTTGTCCATTCTGTTCTCAAAATTTTGGCCAATTGACGAGTTGCGTCCACAGAACGTAATGATCCTTTAGATAATATCTCATTGATATAATGGACAAGTAAAATGCCATCATTTTCTTGTATATGTTTAGCGGAATACAACTCAGGATGTAAGGAAATATTGTATGAGTTAAGAAGTGCTTCACATTGACAAAATACACATGTTGGACCATCTGTTTTATCTTCGTCTCGTTTATGTTGACGCTGCTGTCTCTTTTCGAAACCCATATTATCCGTTATTATTGTTTGTTCTTCAACACGTCCCATACATGAACTACATCGCGCATATTCGGCAACTTGTTCATCTGTTGGATCACGTGCTATCGATTCTAATTCATTCACAACATTTAAACGAATTTCTTGTACACGTTTAAAATTTTCCACAATATATAATAAAAAACCATCCCATGTTCTAAATGTAAAACGTTTTTCACGACCAATATCATGAATATCTATTTCTTGTCCATGTAATGCTGGCCGAATGACATCTGTAATTGATTGAAGTATCTTTTCAAATTCATTTTTAACATCATTCAGTGGTATTAGTTTCTCATTGTATTCATCCCATGATTTGTCTAATTCATTATTTGCTTGAGAATGATAACGTTTTTTGATTTTATCAAATTGTTCTTTAGCTTCATCACAGGATATTACGGACGCGAGACGAGTTATTGTGGAGGTTGTAGCTGCCGATGATGCGACCGCACTAGAAAAAAAATATATTAGTATTTAGATTAAAACTTTCAGATAAACGGCAGTGAATTCAACATTTTTACACAGAAACAAAGTCAAATAATTTCGCCGGTTTTAAAAATATCACTTATTCTTCATCCAGAATATAATGTAGATTGCAATTTTTTGAATAAGTCAAAGGGAAATGAAGATAGAGACCTATGATTTTAAGTTTTGGAAACACCTGAAGGAATCTCTCCACAGCAAAATCGCTTTTCGAAAAACGTTTTTTTCAACTGGCTCTGATGTATTTTGAGTGAGTTATGCGTCTCAAGCATGGTTTTTGAAGATGTTGCTTAGTTCCAGTTTTGTAGAGGAGACTTTGGACTATCTACCTATGCACAAAAATTAATAGATTGCTATTTGAATTTGAGAAAACCCAAGCTGGTTTCTCAAAGATCCTTTGGAAAACGACCTTCGAAAAGTTTTTCGAAAAGCGATTTGGCTTGTAGAAAAATACCTTCAGGTGTTTCCAAAACTGAAAACCACAGGTCTCTATCTTCATTTCCCTCTCTTTCTTATGGCAACCTGCATAAAATATTCTGGGATGGATAATAGTTACCATGAAATCAATAGATAATGATAGAGTTTTAGAAGGCGCACACTTCTGCGTATTCTGAAGCCTATGGTTCTTGAGAAAACTAAAAAGTTTGTACCTCTGCGATATCTATACAATAAAAGAACTTTGCTCGATAACCTCCCACTATTTCGAAAAATGCTTTTTACCATTAGATAGCCGAGATTATTGTGCGTCTACATCTATCATCGTTATGTTGTGGAACGCAGAAGGATAGAAAAAATGGCCGAAAGATAAAAATTTTTATGATTTCTCAAAAACATCATGGTAAGACAAAAAGTTTTTTTAGAAAATCGCTTTTAGGTGTCTTCAGTCGAAAGAATTTTTTCCTTGGAAACATTTGAATAACACATGATTCGATCCAGTTTTGTCTGCTGATTTCCAATATGCATTCATTTTCCGCTGAAAATGTATAGGAAATGGCAAAAATACAAAATAAGCAGACTACCTTAGTGCTGAAAAACCATTTTTGCAGAAAACTATCCTTAAATTCTGCGCTACAAATCCTGACATTTAAAAGAAAAAATAAATTGTCCTCTGAGAACTAACATTTTTTTAATATAAAAACTAAGGTACACTTTTGACACAGTAGTTTTGATACTGCGTGGGTAAAACCGTTCTACGCAAAAGACAATCAAAGATTTTAGTCAAGCAAAGTTGTATAGATATCGCAGAGGTACAAACTTTTTAGTTTTCTCAAGAACCATAGGCTTCAGAAATACGTAGAAATGTGCGCCTTCTAAAACTCTATCATTATCTATTGATTTCATGGTAACTAGGTGGTATTTTTAAAACCGACAGAATTGTATAAGAGGAATGAGTTTTCAAAGGTGTCTAAGGATCGTACTACAATGTTAAAAAAAAGACAAATAACTTCAAACAGTCTGTCAAATTTACAACAAACCTATCTAATTGTAAGCACTGTTGAAGATTGTAAAGCGCATGTGCTTGTTGAAAAGAATCACTGTGAAAACATTGTTTATATTCATTAGCTGTTTTCATGACATTATTATATGTATCGACAGCTAACTGGAGATAATATTGTGATGATTTTTTTTCGTCCTCCATATAATCTGGCCTTGCTTCTTCATGAAAATATTGTATCAGATACATTGCTGCCAAAGCGTTCATGTTCAGCAATGCCAAACGTAGAGCATCTTCACCAGCTTCAAATTCTTTTGCAATCAATAATGTTAACAAGTCATTCATTGTAAATACTTTCGATGAACCGTCAGCATTCTTCTCTGTTGTTGTCAGCGGTTTTAATTCTGGATTTCTTGTTCGCCAAACCCATCCACCAGCAAGTCCATTACGATGGAAACGATTATAATAATGAACTAGTGTTGCATCCGTATGTCTAACACCGTGTGCACCGATACTTGGATTACAGCACACTTGTCTTAATTTCAACAATGGTGTATATAACGCACTACGGGCACTTGACGACAAAAACCTGATATCATTCATATCAATATCATCTTTATCCGACGCCATTGTTAGCCATGAAGGTGTGGTGTTTAATTGTTCACCCGGTTTTTGTCTTGCCCGTTCACGTTTTAACCATAAACCTCGAAATGCTCCAATAAATTCTTCTCGACAGTTTGTCCATACATCATTATAATAAATACGTTCTAATTCTGAAAACTGTAAATTAACAATATGTTCATGTTGTGTAGGCAAATCATTCAAATAATCACGAGATGTTCGTCGCGTAATTGGTAAAAGAAGATGTAATGTCCAAGCCAGAAATATATCAGATATTCGATGTTGATTACGAACAATAAACGATATTTGATTCAAAGCCTTTAGTGAATTTGGAAATAAATATTGAATAATGCCAACTAAATCATTGGTGCTGCGTGAAAAGGGAGTACCAGTAACAAACCTAAATTGAAAAAAAAACGAATATTACTTTAAAGTAAACTTAATTTCGAATTTTGTGCTCTATGCAAAAAAACTGCATTAAATGATATAACAATGATTAGAACTTCCGCAGGACGTAACTTTTTCTATCTTAACGTCATGGTTTTTCATAAGACAATAAAATGAGAACGTTCGGGAGTAGTAGATGTAAATGATAAAGTGTAAGATATTGTTTCGTTTTCAGAAATAGTCTTCCTGTATATATATTTATATACAGTGGCGGCAAAAATTTTCTGTACACCCCAAATTTTTTCTTCTTTTGATCATAACTCTGTACCAAAATATTCTCCGCTCTCTCTAGTATATTTGTAGATTAAAAGAAGGTAGAAATATTCATTGTTGCTCTCTGTAGGCATATTAGACTGAAACTTGAATTTTTTCAGATCGGTAAAAATTTTCCGTACAGTTGATAAAAATCCCTTTTGTACGGTGTACAAGTACAAACAAAATATGAAAACTACATCAATCGATAGAAGAGAGTGCGAGCTACATTTTGGTAAAAAATAATTTTGAAAATTTCTTTTCTTTATGATAAAAACGCGACTTTAAGCCAAAATTGCCATATTCTTCAGTTTGACTGTTCTATTTCAGGAATGAGTGGGTGAAAAATTATTATTGATTAAGCCATTCGACACAGCGTCAATCATGCCAATTTTTAGATTAAAAGATGAGTCAAATTCTTCCATTTAACTTTCAGGCTATATGTATCTTACTCAGTTTTTGATGCTGTTTCGAATGGCTTGAGCAGAGTTTCTTTTCGTCCACTCATTCCTGAGACAGAGCAGTCAAACTGAAGAGTATGGCAGTTTAGGCTTAAAGTAACATTTTCACCCTAAAGAAAAAATTTTTAAAACCTATTTTTTTACCAAAATGTAGCTCGCGCTTTCTTCTATCGATCAATGTAGTTTTCATATTTTGTCGATACTTGTATAGCGTAAAAAAGGATTCTTATCAACTGCACGGAGAATTTTTGCTGTTACTGTATATACCATCTATGATGAGCTTGCAACTGTTTTGCCATTTTTGACACTGGTGTATTTGGTGTATCTACCATTTGTGCTTCGTCAAGACATAAACGCCAAAACTTGATACTAAAACGAAAATCAAAAGTAAAAGATATTATAATACGCTATATAGAATAAGAAACTCGCCGTAACAATGGACTAACTAAATAGTCATAACGTCTGCTATGTCCACCTTTTGCTGCGTGCCGTGTAGAACGCAATTCTTTAATACATGTTTCATCATGGTGAATGTCTTTTCGAAGATTCTCGTATGTACAAAATATAAAATCTTGTTTAGTCAAATATTTAATATCAGGTGCTGGCAAACTGTTAACACCTGTATAAATATAATAACTAATATCACTTTCAATATGTTTTTGAATTTCAGCAATCCACTGACTGAGAATAGCTTGTGGTGCAACGATTAACGTTGCCGGTGAAGTTATTACTTTATTATTTATTCGTTGTTCACAAAATGGACAAATAAATGGCTGTTTTGTATCGTCATTCATAAGATAACAGTTCTGATGTATACCACGGGAACACTGTATACATGTTAATACTACTCGATTACGTTTATTTTTTCTTAGGGGATCTTTGCCACAGTCCTCCATGCAGATGCAAGCCAATGAGACAGATGATGTTGTTAGTTCATTCTCCTTATTCTTTTGTATTTCCGTTACTTTTTTCTTTACTTCAGGTTCTTCATCTGGTTCATCATAATCATCAGAGAGTTTTCGTTTTCGACTTTCAAATGGTTGTAAGATTTGTAGTTTTTCTTCAGAATTATCAATAAAGGATGGTGAACATGGATTCAATAAAGATGTTAGTAAAACACACATCGTTTTACCTAAACCCATTTCATCTATAGCACAGAAATCCAATGTTTACTATTTTTAGACAAAAAAAGATTTCAATCACTTACCCGCAAGAATACCGCCTAGTAATGGTAATTGTTGATCACGTATATCATCAACATCATCGACAGCAACTGCATAACCATCCATAATATGGGCGTAAAACTGTTTATCTTGAACATCGTAGCAAGAATATAGAGGAGTAAACACAATATTTGATGATAATAGTTTCTCTCGTTTTAACATCCAATCAACTAAAAACATTAGAGCTACAGAATGTTGAACTGGATAGGGAGCACTGTCAAAAAAGCGTGTATACGAGTTTCATCATCGTTTTTTCTAATATTTTTAAAATAAAACATACAAAAGGGACAGAGACTATCAACGTTGGACAGCACTCTGTAAGCTAATAAGAAAGGAACAATTGTAAAAGGAAACGTACTTGATTTTATCTGATGATCCCGTAATTTTATAACATTATGTTTAATTAAATTATTGTTAATTATATCTTTTTCAATTGATTTAACATCAGTTTGTTCAATATCCAGATGTGTTGCCATTGATATTTCACGATAAATATAATCAATAACATTTTTTGCTTCTGTTTTCAAATTTGAATAATTATTAAATGAAAATAAATTTCGGAAAAATGGTGTCGAATCCCCAGCAAGGCAAGATGAATGAAATGAAAACACATTTAAATATGACTTTGATGATGTTGTAACATATAATCGATCGTGTTTTGTTAGATATATTTCTATCTTTTGAGTATTAATTAAACTATAAAACCACTTTAATGGATGATATACTAGTTCTGGATTAGTGGGTTTTGTTTCAACTTTTATGAATAACTGTTTTGTTAATTCATTAATGTTCCAATTATCTCTATACAATTCAGCGAGTGCAAAATGATGATCATCAACAGATGGATCACTGGTCTTGAATAATAATGGATTTGCTGAAATACCATCGAATGTTAAATTTATATCTAACTGAGCGCCGCGATATGAATAATTCCAGAGACGAGTATACGGTTTACGACCAGGCATCTAAAAGAAGATGATATATTGTTTCAGTTTCGAACAGTAAATTTGACAAAGTAACCCATAGGCTATGTAGAAGAAAAAGGTACAAGGAAGATAATGGCCGTCTTCAATACTTATCTCTTTCAACTTTCATTTCTTAGTGTCACATCAAAGTTGAATCTTAACGATAATAGATAGACTTTTGGTTTTTTTCTATTAACAGTTCCATGTGAAATGAAACAAAAAAATCAAATAAATAAACAACTTTGAAAGGCAGGCTTCCTGTTTAATCTTTCACATCATTAAAGTTTTGAAAGAATGGAAAAATAATGCTGGTTTGTCAAATAGGGTGTTAACGATTCGTCAGAAATTTCGAGGAATTGACATCTTTCAGATGTCGCTGTTGAAAAAACTTTTCTATTAATTTGCTATAAATTTTTCATTTATGAACTACATCACTGAATTTTCTCAGAAAGTTCGATTCTCCTTATGTGTGACAATTGGAAGGATGGCGGCCTCTGATTTAACTCTTGCTACAAAGATAAATAAAACAACTCTACTCGAGACTCCTGATTAATCTCCCGCAGGAGTCCTGGAAAAAAAGTCCTACAGGAGTCAGCAGGAGTCCTGTCACGGGGCCCCGGCAGGATCCTCTGTGGAGTCATGGAGGATTTTTAAGGGATTCAAGAGGGATTCCTCAAGACTCCCACAGGAGTTCTATGGGATTCTTAAGGAAGTCCCTGGGGAGTTCTCGGGGATTTTCAAGAGAGTCCTTGGGGACTCCCTGTGGGTCTATTGATCCATCTTCTTAATTTCATGTAACTAATTAGTAATTAAGTGCCAGATACTATCACTGGTACCGCTGGAGCACATATCACCCATCGAAGGTTGACATATTAATGTTGACTTACTAGAAGAAAATTTTTAAAATTTTATCACAGAACTACATTATATTTATATATTCCCTATCTGCAAAACAAACGGTGGATGGTGAGTTGGCAGGGACTCCTCGGGGATTGCACAGGTTGGGAAGTGTGAGGGTGACTCCCGGGGAGCAGAAACCTGAATTTTGGGTGTGTGTGAGGGGGTGCGTATCCCCCAAAAATTTAAAAGAACAGTAACAAGGTAATTATTTAAAATAAAGTTTACATTATACGGACAAAAAACTTTCGTTACTAAAAAAAGGTTCTTCCAATTTTTGAGAAAATTTCGGCATACTGCGGCGTGAAAGGTTTTTATTTCCCGCAGAAGGCTTTCACTTCCCGCAGGAACTTGCGGAAACATGCTCATTTTCTTTCACTGGGAAGCTCATACTTTATTAAACGTATCTCAGCTCAGAAACATGGTTTTGTTTATAGTTTTCTTTTCTCCAACTGAGATATCTAATTAAAATTGTATCTCAGTTGGTACGTAGCCGCAAGTCTCTATTGATAAAAATAAATGCATATTAATTCCCGTTTTTTCATTGTGCTTCTCCACAACAACAGCAACATTCATTTGCTATTTCTTTTTTAGAGAGTAGAGCAACAAAAAACGGTAAAAGTGACTTCACCATACAATGTAGGTGTGCACAAATAAAGTGAAAAAAACTGTCAATTGATTTTCCTTCAAAGTGCAAAAGCAGCATACATTTTTTGAATAAAACTGTTTTGTTTTTGACATTTGTTACCTTCAATACGTACTTTACTCGTTCCTTGCAATGCACAAGTCATTAAGAAAACAATTAGATCAAATTCAACCATTAACATTTCCATGTTTAAAATCATTATAGATACCATTTATATCACATCAGTTCTATACTTATGAGCAATTATGCAATCGAATATTTACAAATGAATTTTAATCATTGAAGAAATGTTATTTATCCGACCTTATTTATCGAGTAGCACAGTCATTAACATCATCCTTTCAATCATCACTACTTGAATATCTAAAAATTCGTTGATGTACTGGAACAACACTTTTTAAATTAATATAAAATCTATTGAAATTCAATACATTATGTGTAAGTTTATGTCCATCTAAGGATCGAACACTTTTAACAGTAACAACAAATATGCTAATATTAATTACACTTAAATTAAATATTCTTAATGATTGTATGAGTTCCGGAGAAATAAAAATTACTAGGCCATTTACAGACTTAAGAACATTTAGTATTAATTTCAAGATCGATTTCGAATTAAATAAATGGAACTGAATTTTAATACAATCAATAAGTAACTTAAAAACATTGAATATAGTCTTGATAATGAATAGTGATTGCGAAGAAAATGAGTCAGAAAAACATTATTTCTTATTTGAATGTGTTAAATGATTGCTTTAAAATGTTTGGACGACATGGATATGAAGATGACTGAAATACAAAAGGATTTTTAATTACGAACGACTACTAACACTTCCGATAAAACGTGTCTTCGATAAACTACTTGCCATTAAAAGCATTGACTCCTGCGTAATCAGACAGAACGAATGCTTTTTGTTTTTCTTTTACTACAACATTTTTCTCTATCTTTTCTTGAGAAAAAATCTTGAGAAATCATTCACTGACAAACGATAAAAATCTCAAAAGTTTAGTCGTCATAAATGTTCCATTTATATAGAGGGTTAGCAGTTTCAATGTGGAAGAGTCTTTTTCTTGCAGGTTCTTGATTCGCTTCTTCGCTTTCTCCTCGCACGTCATGTTTTAAAATCAGGCGTACAAGCTGTTCAAACCGATCCGTCGACCACTTGGTCGCTGTTAGACCGATGAGCTTCAACAAAAGACTTCCACCTAATACAATAAAATATTTTACACTCATCACCTTGACCTTCAAACGCACTTGATCGACAGTCACCATGTTTAGGTTCTAATGCCAACTTACATTTTTCCATAGATAAGCATCTTACACACAAGTATTTTAGACGATGACCAGATCTCGAAAATGCGATGTATGTGCGACGTATATGCCATCCTACATCTACCTGTAACCCCGTGGAATGGTGCAGCATGTACTCCAACTTTGAAAAACCAGGAAAATCGCCTTGTCGTTTTTTCCTATCATTACACGATCTTTAATCTCAATCAGAACCACTTCATCAGGTAGAGCTTAAAAATATGCGTTGAATGCGTATCTTGTTGTTGTGTACTGACACGACTTTTTGAAAAAATTATGGTTTACAGAAAAGCCTACATTTCGGAAAAAACGATTTTTTAAAAAATTCTCCTGAGAACGTGCTGAGCATTTTGGAAGTTTTTTGTTCGCGTACAAAGAAAACCGACGTCTTATAAAATCAATCGACACAAGCAACATAATATACAAAAAACTAAATGATGAACATCAATGGACGATAAACACCGACTTTGATTTTATCTGAACACGATTGTTGATAAAGAGATAAAAGCAATGACAAAAAGTGGATCCGCCTCTTGCAAGAGGTATCACAATGATAAATTGAAATAGAAATATACTGAAATGTTAACGGTAATTAACTGAATGAGAAAGAAATTGTCAAACACAGAACGACTTTCACACAAGATTGATCACTAGCATTATTATCAATTATTCCAGCTTTTCTTGTATGTTGCATCTACTTGTGATAACGCGGCACCAACTGAGATCAGCTGTATTGTTGTGAAGAAAACGAAGAGACTTTCACATAATTTATCTCATATTTAGGTACAAATAACTGGTGTGGTGATTGGAGATCTGGAAGAGCTGTATGTTTTGGGCACCACTGACGAAAATCATCCACAGAAAACATAGATGATCGGGATACTGAATGTTGATAATTTAGAATGCTTATTACTTGTGCTACTGATACACATTTTGGAAGTTTGGAATTTTGCAGTGCTGCACATATAGATTCTAATCTGACGATACCAGCTCATGAAAGTGTTTCGCTAAAAATTGATGAAAATACCCAGGAAAGGTCTGTTTTGGTGGGAAATAGAATCTTCACGTTTTCGAAAGAACAACCCCGATATATAATTTTAGTTTCAGCACTTATTGCTTCAGTTCGAAATTTAGTAACTGAGTTTTGTTTAATGAATAAGTCCAAATGATCTTTGTTTAAGAAAGTACTTTCAAAGTTGCACGATCTACGCGTGTCATGTTTAATTTTTGTTGAATGAAACAAAAATAATGTAAAACGCAGAAGGACTACATCTGCGTCTGTACAATAACCATTACAATTGTTTATGTGCGGTACGACGTGATATGAACGGACCGTTAACATTTGGCTGCGTCCCTTTTCGTCCTTGCTTTTTCTTACGGACATCTGTCAGAGTAGTCCGTTCCGAGCTCCCGTTTTTTGAAAAACTCCGGAAGATCGGATGTTCGTAAGTAACGATAATCAAAAAAAATTGGAATGTTCGAAATGAAAGTCGTTCGGGTGTACGGAACGGCACGAACCAAGGCTTTTTAGTGTTTTTGTATACAAAAATGTCTGGATGTTCGTAACAGAAAAGAACGGATGTCCGTTAAAATATAGTTTATTCTCTTTTCGTTTGTAGTAGAGGATTTTATAAGAAAAAATCATTAGACAACAAATAACGAAACAAATAATTCGTTTTAAGTTATTTAAACTTAAATTCTTCTTATAGAGTATTACGTGACTACCGTATATCATTTATTTATTTATTTATTCTCTTAATCCAAAGGATACGATGATATCATGTCTATCATGCAAACCCAGGCCAAAGAATCTTACCGTATGATTTTGTACGATTTCGTCTGATTTCGTAAGATTCTGTAAGAAACATAGAAACTGATTATTGATGTAAGATCTTATAGTGAGATTTCATTAGATTTCGTAGGATTCATGTATGATTTTTATAAGATTTCATGAGATGGCCCGTTTCTATGATTTTGGA